AAACATTAACTTGGATCTGCATAATATAGGTTCCTGGTGTCGAATGAACATCTTACGAATTTATCCATCAAAAACCGCTTTTATGGTTTTTCATTCCTTCCCGAACGTCCTTTCAAAATCTAAATCTGTGCTTGTGGACGATAATTTAATTCTCATGTCCGACGGTACAACGTTTCTTGGTGTTGTTCTTGACCGCCATATGAAATTCAATCTTCACGCGCAGTCACTCACTCCCAAGATAACCTTTGGAATACGCGCCATAATCAAACCTCGTTCATATTTTCAGCCACACATAATCCAGTACCTTTATAACGCACATATTCACAGCCATTTATCTTATTGCGTATCAGCCTGGGGTAACACATATTCGACCCACCTCAACCAACTACAACGCCTACAGAATCAAGCATTTCGACTTATGACTTTCAGCCATTTCTTACCAATGCAACGCCACTTCATCAGAATTTAAAAATAAATATTCTTTGTCACCTCTTTAAGCTGAAGTTATCAGTTGTCATCAATAAGCTTTTTCGTAGTAATGTGCATATAGATGGCAGTGTCGTGGAAAGCTTTGTAAAGAATATTATTACTAGGTTTTCTGAGCTTGAAAACGGCCTTCTGCCTAAAGTTCGCACAAACTGCGGCACGTTCATCACTACATTTACGGGAATCAAGCTATGGAATTTCCTTTCTTACGTAATAAAATCATCTACCACAGAACATGCATTCAAAAACCAAGTAAAGAAATATTTTTGCAACAGTTATCTTCATCTTAGCAACTGCCTTTAAAGTAGCGATAACAATTAGAACATGTTATATTGTCCTTACGTTTTGTATTATACCTTGCGCTTGTTTGTTCCTCAAAGTTTTCATTTTTTGCCTTGCGAAACATATATGTAGTTTCTATTTTCGTTTTTTCGCACTGTGCTTTTTTTTCTTACTGAAGATACCGTAACAATTGAATGTTGTATATTTTGTGTCTTCTCCCGTTAACATAATATATGGGAGCCCCCCTGAGAGTTTCTAACTTTGGGGCTCTTTGTGTGTATTACCAATCCTGTACGTACTTTTCTGTAAACTGACATTGTTGTTGATTAAAACTTGAAACTTGAAAACATGAAAAATACAAGGAGGTGAAAGGCATCATAAGCGATGCCCTTCAGTGCTTGCGCTACCTTGTCGGCTTCAGTCATAACGGTATCAACCTTAAGGCGGAGGGTCAAGACATCTTGAATGTAGGCCAGGTAAGACTCCGTGAATGTCAGGACATGAGTACCATGCTCTTTCTCAGCGGCCTGCTTGCACACGGCAGATTGGCTGGACAACTCACGCAACTTCGTCCTAGACATGTCCCAGCTGATGAGCTCTTTCACGTTGCTGTTGAACCACGCCTTGGCCGTTCATTTCAACTAAAAGATACAGTTTACCAGCACCATGGTTGGGTCCCACTTGTGATTTTCATTCACGAGCTCGTAGAGTTGAAGCCACTCATCGACGTCCTAGCCGTCAGTGTCCGAAAAGTTGCCAGGATGTGGGGTGGAGTGGTCACAATGACCACAGTGGCGCCGTTGGTGCATGGGCATCCCTGTCGGTAGACATGTTGGAAGCGGGAACTAGGCGTTCGCTGCAAAGCTCCGTCGTGCTTTGCTACCAAGCACCTTCCACCAAAATGTTACGGGAGAGAACGTAGGGAAACGAGGTGAGTGTTGAGATATATTCACACGACGCCAAGCGTAAGCCGAGATAGAAAGCGAGGGCGCGCTCCACATCCCAGAATCACGTCGTGTTTTTAGTGGTCTCTCTTGCTTCTTCAGCGTTATGTAGTCTTGTAACAACTACCCAAGAGCTGACATATAAGAACGCCGGCACACCTACTCGGCGCTAATTATTTTTTTTCTAACGCTGAAATTCTGCGAACGCAAAACAACAATCACCTGTAAGCGCAAATAGGGACCTCCAGAGTAGTGAAGTTGTGGTTTCGATGGCGAGTGCCCGGGGCTTCACTGAAATATAGTTATTGGTGCCATAGAGTTAGACAGCTCGTTTTACATAAATTCTCATCTCAGCGCCGGCATCGTTTGTTGGGAGTCGAAATAAGTCAGCTTGTTCGTGAAGAAAAAAATTGAAAAGATGCAAATAAAAATAATGATGAAAGATTTTGGGTCTCAGTGAGTATCGAACCGAAGCTGTTTGCGCGGCAAGCAGGTGCTCTATAGCAGGTGTTTAAAAAAACAGTATGTGTGGCCACATTTCCAGTTTTTTTTCTTTATTGCATGAATTCATCACCAGTAATTATGAACTACGCACAACATACTTCATCAGAAGTCAGGCAAATCACGCGTGCTCCTCTGCTAGAAAATGCAATGAAAACAATTTGCATGCGCCATGTATACATGTCTAACAGTACATGTTATATCACAGTAATACTGCGCGGTACAAGTTTACACGGCTATCACGCGTGTCAACATGGGATTTTCATAACGACTTCGTTTTTATGATAATAATGCTATGAAAAACACTCACGAGCGGTTTCACATAAAACTCTTGACCATGGGAACACAAGCAAATATGGATCATTATTTTCCTTAGTAAACAAGGAATAAGGAGCAGAGACCTGTGAATTGAAAGCATAGTGGTTACCTCTCGGTGGTACCTCTCGGGGGTACCTCTCGGTGGCTCAGTGGTGACAGGCCTCGCATTCACGGCGTGGAGGTCCCACGTTCGATTCTGCGCGCCGGAGTCTTTTTTCTGAGTATTTTTCTCCCTTGCGTTTTCATTTATATAGATATTGATACATATTCGGTGCATTTCATCGACGCCAACGCCAGAAGCGAAATCTGGCCCTAGAGTGTCCATTTAATTGCTATCACAATAAAACAAAAAAAAAACGTAGGGCCTTGCGGAAACCCTGCAATGTTTCTCATTTTTCTGGTCTGTGTCTTATATCGCAGTGCGTCAAAACATGAAGGCAAAAAAATAAATCCTGTCATACTGCAACAACACTCATTTAATGACTACGGATTATAGGGACAGTTAAAAGTGAAAAGTTTGACAAAATACGAAATAAGTCAATGTGAATTTCTTACAGAACCCACTGATTTCGCGAATTGATTTCTGGTATTCCGAACGTTCAGCTAAGTATTTCGAGGAATATTAGCGTCTTAGCGGGCTATAATTTTAACAAACAGGTTGATAACAAAGACCTTTAAAGGGCCGCTAATTTTATCTGATAACGCAGATGTAACCTACAAAAAGTGAAAACGTAAGCAGCGTTGATTGTTATATGCCTTAGGTACAAGCTACGTTGCAATATTGTTTGTTCCGTCATCGAAATGCACGTCCTACAAAAAAGCCTACGTATTGGTATGTTTCATTCACGCTAGGTGTTGTTTTAAGCTTGCTATTTGTACCTTCAGTGATTTTCAAATGTGTGCAGGTGAGATTGTGTCACGTATGCCTAACAATTTCATTTTATTCGCCCAACAGGTATATCAGGTCACATCCTAAATCGCATGTCATACATATATGTCAAAAGTGGTCCTACGCTAAGTTTAGCATATACCAAATAAACGAGAAGACCACATTAGAGGCGCAAGCCACCTAAATACTTGGTAGACTGACAGATATTGCTGTTCACGGGTGGAATTTGAGAGCCAAAGCCCTGCCCACGCATACTGACCTCGTCGAAGGCCCGCCGGAGACCGAGTCTGCCCGGCTGGGCCCGACGTAAGAAAATAAAAGCCCTAGCCCAGCCCGGTCCCGCCTGGCAGTATGAAGGTCTGCTGATAGACATGTCCTTAACCAATAATGTGAAAAACAACATATGAACACATCAACGTGAAACAACAAAGCAAAAACGTATGGCAGTCACTTCGTATAAAGCAATTACTAGCCGTTTAAAAATAAGCTCTCAAATAATTCTGGCTTCTGTGAAGTGCGGTAGTCCTCCGTCACATATTCTGCCCAACTTATTGTCCTTTGGGTGCTTGCACTGGTAGCCGGAATGTTCGTTCTTCCTGAAGTTTAGTACATGAGATATAGGAAATGGGATAACTTTGTGTATCATAAACACAGATATCATCATGTGTGATTTCATCCTCTCTCCTAGTAGTTAAAGAAAACAGAGTCGAAAAAGAGAAGGGTGTGCGCTTTCAGAGAAGGCTCTGTAAGGTGGAAACAAGTTCTGGCAAGACGCCTGTATTTTGAGCTTTGCACCTGGCATGACCCATCCATCAAAGTCAATCTAGCCCGAGCACGGCCTGGGCCTGATATAATAAAACGTCAGCCCGCATAAACCTGTCGTTAATTTCTGGTTCGGGCCCGGATTTGTGCCCAACTTTACAGGCAGACAGAAACCATGCAAGTACTTTTGGTGAGCAAACAAATAATTCGTGTTTGAAAAATAAGCACTAGGATTTTGTCGTTGAACATGTTGTTGTTGCATTTCTAGGTATCTGAAAGCCTGTATATTTATGAAGATGTCATTCTGCGCTAAAACCTATATGCGAGACAGGGTACTTGTGTCACTGCTAATATTATTCTTCATTTGTAGTTTCATCGATTATTAGTTGTGCGTATTTATTATAGAAAAGTCACTTTTTTTCCTGTACCCATCTAAAGTGCTTTTTTAAAAAAAGGAGCACAGACAGAAGAGATTGCAAGATTACTGAAAAGACTAACTTGAATTGCGATCTCATTGGTAGCTAGAGAATGAAGTTGTAAATTTTTAAGTATATATCCACTAATCGTGCAAATACATCTGCTTCAGTAGTTTTGCGTAAATGTTCCCGTTCCTGACACTTCAATAAAGAGCATTGTGCGCCACGCTAAGTAGAAGGCTTTCTTCAGAAAACCAGTACTACGAATTGGTTCCTAAACCAGCTGAAGTTTTTTTCGCTTAACCGAAGTTTAACGTAAGCTAATCAAAAGAAGATAAACGCGAACTAATTGCATTACAGCCTATTTGTATGTAATTCTTGTGTCTTTCTGTTCAATTTAAGGAGGCACGAACAAATCTATCGAAGAACTTTCGAAATCGTTTGGCAATAATACCTGCGGCATCTTTTTCGTATACCCGTGGACGGAACAAGGTACGCAAAAAAGAAATTGAACTTGCCTACGTTTTGATATGTTTTGACGTTGCACAAGTAACCATTGTGTTCCAAACCACCATTACGAAATGAACTTCTATTTTCTTCCGAAGTAGACTTTAGAACTGACCTAAAAGTGCAAGGATCTAATCCAGTTTGCGACTGCCACACTTCGACAGACGCAAAACTCTGGGAACATGTGCGTTTATGTTCAGCTGTATATTAAGAGCTCTTGGTTTTTGAAGTTTCTGACGCCTTCCACTGCTGCATATGTAACAGATCATATGAATTTTGGACGTAACGCCACCATACTTAGAATCGCTTCAACGTTTAAATAACGCTTGCAAAACGCACACCTACATTTCTTAAGCGAGCCTTCTAGTATTGCTTGTTAAGATGCAAGAAGGCAGCCTTAAAGACACTGTGCGTTGACAGTGTTAGTGCAGTGAGACGGTCACCGATGAAAGACTAAGACGGTCACCGATGAAGCAGGATGCAGCAATGCCTTGCCGGGTTTATTGTCGCCGCTTATATTAGGCATAATCGGTCGGTGCGCACCGGAGTGCGCATCATGAGTCATGGTCAGCATGACCCAGCACGATACATCTCCCATCCTTTTTTTTTAACAAGGCGTAAAAAAGAAGTGCAATGCGAGAAAAACACAAATTCAACAGTATTCCGCCGGAACTAGCCGCTAAACTATTTGAGCAAAGTTGGGGCCGTATGCTAAACGTCTTGGTTCCTCCCTAATGCGCGCGGATCTTCTAGGTGCCGGCGAAGTCACGCGAGGCGGGCTCTGATGTGGAGGCTCTTCTGCGTCATCATCTCCGACGTCAGTGTCACTGTCGCTGGAGTACGTAAATGGCTCCGAGGTTGCCAGCAGCTGTTGGCGGTTACGCCGCAGCGTTCTCCCCTCTCCTGTTGCGACGTTGTAGGACCTCGGGGCTACTTTTCCCAATACCTTAGCCTTTTGAGACCAAGCCTGGCCTTTCACGCGAACCACGTCTCCCGGTAGGAGTGGTCTCAGCGGTCGTCCAGACGACGTCTGCTGGCGCTTTTTTACAGGACTCTTGGGCTGCAGGTTGAAGTCGGGGATCCTAGTGCGTATAGGCCTGCCCTGCAGAAGTTCCGCCGGCGACCGGCCATCCTGCAAGGGAGCAGAGCGGTAACCAAGTAACCCAAGCCAAAAATCTTCATGTGTGGTCCCAGTCTTCTTAAGCAGCCGCTTTATAATTTGGACACCCTTTTCTGCTAGCCCGTTGGAACGTGGAAACATTGGGCTCGAAGTTATATGTTTGAAATCGTACCGTCTGGAGAACGTGGCGAATTGGTGACTTGCGAACTGGGGGCCGTTGTCTGTGCAGACTTCCATCGGTATTCCATACCTTGCAAAGATGGCTGCCAGCTTGTCGATAACCGCAGTTGCCGATGTCTCCTCGAGTTTTTCAACTTCTGGAAAATTGGAATAGGCATCAAAAACAGCAAGGTACGTGGCTCCAGCATAACAAAAAAGATCTACGCCCACTCGGTACCAAGGGTGATCAGGAGGGGTTCGTAGCAAGAGGGGCTCGTCCGGTTGTTTGTACGCATAGGTTTTACAGACAGCACAATTCCGTACAACGTCAGCAATGTCAGAGTTCAAACCAGGCCAAAATACTAGACGCCGTGCCCTAGCTTTGCACTTATTTAAACCCAGATGGCCCTCGTGAATGCGGCTTAGGGTTTCTGGACGCAGTTTCTTTGGTATAACTACTTTACAGCCCTTCAGAAGAATTCCGTCGACAACTGAAAGTTCAGAGGCGAACGGCTTGAGTGTTCCTTCGAAGTCTTTGTTTAACGACAAGCTTTCTACTACCGCACGTAGCTCCGGGTCGTTAGATGTTTCCTGAGACAAAAGCTGTTTCGTTCTTTCACTCACTAAAGATGACAAAACGGCCACTGCGTGTACTTGAATGTCGCCAAAATCCACTGTGTCTTCACGCTCTGACGGTGTGGCCCTTGAGAGCATGTCAGCAAGGACCAATTCTTTGCCTGGAACAAACTGTAGAACATAGTCGTATATTAATAAGCGCAGAAAAAATCTTTGAAGTCTTGGGGCATGTTCCCGATATCTTTGGACGAAATGGCTAGCAACGGTTTGTGATCGGTGTCGATCACAATTTTCCTACCGTACACAAACTGGTGGAACTTCTCGCAACCGTATGCTATACCCATCGCTTCTTTCTCTATTTGAGAATAACGCTTTTCAACGTCGGTCATGGCTCGTGACGCGTAGGCGATAGGACGCCAGCCACTGGAGTGTCGCTGGAGCAGTGCGGCCCCTATGCCATCCTTAGATGCGTCTGCCGTTATCTTTGTCTCTTTCGCGGGGTCGAATATAGCGAGGAGCGGGGCAGTGCGCAGCGCTTCGCAGACTGCGTGCCATTCCTGAGCGTGTTTTTCGGTCCAGTCAAATACGGTGTCCTTCCGTATCAGGCTTCGAAGAAGCTTCGTTCTATCAGCGAGAGTTGGCACATATTTTCCAAAATAGTTTATTACTCCAAGCATACGTTGTACGGCAAGTTTTTCAGTTGGTACGGGCATTTTGCTCAAACAGTCTACAAGAGCTGCATTTGGACGAATTCCTGCTGAGCTGATAACATCGCCCAAGAAAACTATCTTCTGCACTCCAAACTGGCACTTCGCCCTGTTGAATGTTAGCCCTGCGCGTTGGCTGCGCATAGAGCGGCTTGAAGGCGACTGTCATGCTCTTGCTTCGTTGCTCCCCACACGAGAATGTCATCAATGTACACTCTAACTCCGGGTAAATGGTCAAAAATCTCGCTCAGTGTTTTCTGGAAGACTTCGGGGGCAGATGCAATGCCAAATGGAAGTCTAAGAAATCGGTAGCGCCCGAACGGCGTGGCGAACGTGCATATCTTTGAGGTAGGTTCATCAAGGGGAATTTGGTGAAACCCTGCGTTAGCGTCTAGTCGACTGAAGAAATTCGCACCAGACAGCTCCGCCTCAATGTCTTCGCGTTGTGGCATCTGGTAGTGTTCGCGTTTCAAGCATGCGTTTACGCTTCTTGGATCCATGCATACCCTGAGGCTACCGTCTTTTTTTCTTACAATAACAAGCGGGCTTACCCAATCAGTTGGTTCGTCCACCTTGCAGATGATGTTCGCCTGTTCCATGCGCACCAGCTCTTTCTGTAGGGGTTCCCGTAAGGCCAAAGGAACGCGTCGCGCTGCATGGATCACTGGAACCGCATCGTCATGTAGTACCATACGATATTGCCGCTTCACGCACCCAGTGCCTTCGAAGAGGTGGCTGAATTTCTGCGTCGTTGGGAGAGACCGTTGCGTCATTGGAGTCATCCCTTCAGTGGTTACGAAATCAACCACCCTGGAGACAAGTGCTAGAGATTCAGCCAGTTCGAGACCTAATATACTCTGGCCCCGCTTCACAACGAAGAAATCTGCAAGGCACCGACGCTCGTTGATCGTAATCACCTGAGTTGTCACTCCGTAGTGCATGATAGCGTTTCCGCTATAGGATCGTAAAACGGAATTACTTGCCCTGAGGGGTGGATTCGTTCGGAATCTTTTGTACACTGACAGTGGTAATAAATTGGCTTGGGAACCAGTGTCTACTTTGAATGCAACTTCTTGCTGTCCAACTTGGGCCTTAACAATCCAATCTGTTTTCTGGATTCCGCACACGGTGACGTCCAAGATTGCAAAGTCTTCCTTTCCCTCTTGTACTTCGTCGACCTCATACTTTCTGCAACAAACCGCAAAATGATTTCGGCCTGCGCAGGCGCGGCATATTTTGCCAAAGGCGGGACATTTCCTAGGCTCATGTCTTCGATTGCACTTGCAGCACTGGACAGGAGCTTTCCGGCCTTGGGTGCGATGTAGGTAAGGTTTTCGGTGGCGTCCACTCTTGCTTCGTTACCTTGCCATGCTTCGTTTTGCTTGTTCGCGAGCTCTGCTGCTTTGCAGATTTGTTCGGCCTTCTGGAGCGTCAAGTCCTTCTCGCGTAGCATCTTTTCCCTCAGTTTAGTGTTCCAGGAGCCAAATACGATTTGGTCGCGTATCATCGAGTCAGCAAGCGGACCGAAGTTGCAATACCTTGCTTGCTTGCGCAGGTCTCTTATGAAATGTTCCACTGGTTCAGCTTCATCTTGCGTCCTTGTCCTGAAGACATATCTTTCGTAGACTTCGTTTTGCTGCTCTGCACAGTACTCTTCAAATTTCTTTACCACAGTCTGGTAGTCTTGCTTGTTCTCGCCTTCTGCGAATGTAAAGTTATTGAAGACTTCTAAAGCGTCGTCCCCAGCAGCAGTCAGGAGCCTGGCTGTTCTAGCAGCTTCTGTCAGTCGTGTAGCTGGCTCTGTTGCTTGTAGAAACAATTCGAACTTTTGTTTAAAAAGCTGCCAGTTCTTCTGAACATTTCCTGTCAGGCATAGTCGGTCCGGTGGCTTCAGTAGTTCCATGATTGTCGGCACCGGCGAAGCGATGTGGTAGCATCCGCCGTCGATCCCACTTCTGACACCATGTATCAGACCCAGGTAGGCTGATCAAAGACTGAGACGGTCACCGATGAAGCAGGATGCAGCAATGCCTTGCCGGGTTTATTGTCGCCGCTTATATTAGGCATAATCGGTCGGTGCGCACCGGAGTGCGCATCATGAGTCATGGTCAGCATGACCCAGCACGATACAGTGTACACAACGCATCATACGTACATTTACGTTCGTAATGACTGTTAGAATATTTTTTATGAGAAACTAATATTGCAAAACAGTGAACGTAGTTCTACGGGGCACCACTATTGAACCAAATGAGGAAGAACGTGAAGTTTCAGCTTTCGTGCAGACTGTGCTCCATCTTGTATGTCTGTCAGTTTATCCGCAGTAAATATGTTTACTACGAATAAACAGGCAGGCGTACAAGATGAAGCCCAGTCTTCAAGAAAGCTGGAGCGTCACCTTTTTTCTTATCAAGTTCATCTGT